AAATTGTAAGCTGAACCGGCAAATAGTTTTGGCGATAAAAGCGTATCAGCCAGAAATTTTTGACATAATGTAATTAGCTCAAAAAACTTTAAACGCGTTGTAAACGCTGTTTTCAGAATCGGTGAGGAAAATTTCGTCGAAACGGCGGCACCGAACGATTTGAAATTTTCGCAAGTCCTTCTTACCGAACGACTTAGTGAAAAGAAATAATGAAATTTTTGATGATAATTTTGAATTTTTAAGCCACCCTGAAGTGTACATTTTTTGAAAAAAATTCAATTTTTTTGGTAAGTTGGATTAGTCAATGCTCGTTCATTACCTACATATATATATATAATAATATTTATAATATTTTTTTTTTTTTTTGTGGCTTTAAGCTAACTTTAAGCAGACAAATTTTACTCATTGCCAGACACCTTAAATTTCCGAAAGTCCTTCTGGAGATCAGCTACGCGATCAAAGCAAACCAAATTTCAAAATGATTCGCCGATTGTAAAAGTACATGGAATTCTGTAAATGTACATTATGTACATATTATGTATGTATAAATAAAATGCTTCTTCAAAAAAATATTTTTTTGTTTTGACTTACAACTGGATATAATCAATCCCAAGTAATCAATTTTGAAGTAATTTTTGTGCGCTCGGGTATTACATGTATAATTTAAGCCTTATGTTAGTAACCGGGTACTCGGGTACCCACCCAAAAATTCAATATTTCATTTTAAGCTCTCAAATCGTCGTTTTTTAACTTAAAAGAAAGCTATTTGTAAGTTCATTTTTTTAATTTTTTTTTTATTCTACGTTGTCATTTTTTTTCTTTAAATTGTCACTGACTATAAATATTTGAAGAAAAACAATTTTATAGAAAAATTTTTATTTTAATAAAATAAACAAAATATTAATAATACTCAGATCGTGCCTTGGTACGCGGTTGCTAAAAGACGTCGGTAATGTTGGTTACCAACATAAGGGTTAAGAAGAGAAAAAAAAAAAAGATTTCTTCAACTGCAATTTCCAAAAGTGTAAGAAAATGTATTGTAAATTTCATTATATTTTAAAAAATAATATTTAAAAATGGCTTGTGTACGCGCTATATATTATACCAGTCGATCGTGTTGTAAAAAATGTTGTTCTTAACTGCACAAGCGGATGGAATGGCACAAGCAATAATAATAATTTCACGCAGATAACTTCCAGAGTAAGAAACTATTACAATCAATCTATATTCAGTTAATAAGGCCGACGAGCATGTCTAGATCGCTTAAATTCACTTTCTTAAATATGTCGTCATATTTAGATATATTAAGATAATATTTTAGGCGTTTATCGTTTATTTTTACGATACATACTAAAGTCACAACACCATTTGCAAAAGTATTAAAATATTTTTACTTATCTCCAGACACTGGAAGTTTGTTAAATAGAACTAAGGAACGGTTTCTTCAGTATTTCAGGCGATTCAAAATGTTTGAAATGAATTTGTCAGCAAAAATAACAAAATTATACCGAGTGGCATCGATGTATGTTGTTAATTTTATATGGCCTAGAAATACTACTTATACTTGTATGTACTTTCTGATGTTATATATATTAGCCTTAACCAGTTAGGTTTGATGGTTTCAGGAAGTATGCCCAAAAATAAACATACGAAATTATAATTCAGCTCAAGCTCACTATGGCTGGGCACATGGTGTAGCAGAGTTTGAAGAGGAGAGTTTTAAAATAACAAAGCAGTTGAAACATAAACACTGCTTGATATGGAACCGTCGTTCATGAGAGCAAAGCAAAGCAGTACAACATATATTTTTCGCTTTGACAATTATATTTGACGATCCGCAGTAATTTTTTTCGAAAATATATGAGCAAAAAATATATGGGAGATATAGCTAATGCTAATTATCGCCAGAAATCTGTATGATAATAAACAAGTGATAAAGAACATTTATAATAAAAAAAATGTTTTAAGCAAACATTTGAATTTTTTGTTTCATATATATTTATTAGGTACCATTTGCAATACTCTCCGATATGCTCTCCGCTACCCTTTAAGACCAATTCAAAACGTGCAAAATGTAGAATTCACTACAGAACTTATTATGCTCATCCTCGAAGTGCATTCCAAAGCAATAAACGAAATTATGCATTCTAGAGCAGATTATCGAAGGATTGCCAACTGCTGAGAGGCTGTTGAGTTTCTTTTCTTGCTGGATATAGCAAACACGCCAGCTGCTTGCTATTATATGTTCAGATCTGGAATAAATTGAGCCTTATCATGGAACTCACATGGATACACATTTTTTAATAACAGACAAGAAAATGATTATTCATATAAAATATATACCAAAATAAAAACATTAGACTTCTGCAGCATTTATTTAAGCACAGCTCCTGAAAATTTGATTTCGAAATATCTATACGATATTTTTAAAAGAAATCCCAATAATTTCAATTAAAACGATGAAACAGGTGGTTAAGAAGAGCAAAAACCATGAGTGAGAAGTAGGTCAATAAAAGAGATTCGCCTTAAGCAGAGTTTTGGAAATTCTAAAAGAGAAAATAATCAAATCTTATGCAACACTATATTGCAGCAGACTTGTCACCCTGTCAACTTTTCTTTTACAAAAATGTAAAAAACTGCAAAATAAATTTTACAGCTGCTTTACTACGAAATAATAGGTAGTTGAAAAAAAACAAGCTTCGAATTGACAAAACTTACCAGAGCATTAATTTTATATATTTTTTACAACATCAAAAAGTAGAGGATTAAACTAAGAAGCATATTCGATTGAAAATTAGGGTCCTTTTACAATAGTCAAAATAAAGTGAAAAAAAAAATATTTTAACAAAAAAAATTACAGTATGTTTGTTATACAAAAAAGTTGGTATACTCGAAATTTCGGGAAAAAATTAATAGTTTATAAAAGATCAGAAGAAATAACCAAACACTTCGTTATTTGAATTTTTTACATAAACTTTAAGATAAATCACTTTACTCCTCTCGCTTCCACTTCTCGACCACAAATCGCCTGTAAGTTATATCTCCTTTCATTTTTTATATATTCTCTACCTTTCCAAATGAGTCTTATATTAAGAGAATATTTATAGAAATAGTTTTCTTTGCTAAAAAGTCTAGTTTTCCCAACAGAAAAATTATTGCGAATTTTCCATAAGTTTTGAAAGAACGGCAGAGAAGTTATACATTTTTGTTTTTGGGACATAATCCTGAATAAGAATGAGCGAAAGAATGGCTTAAAAATTTAGAAAAATTTTTTTTTTTTATATATTTAGAAAATAAATTTATTTTTAGACTAAAAAATGTGAAAAATATTATGAAAAAAATATTTTAAGGAAAAAAAATTTAAAGAGAAGTGTTAATACACAATTTTAGAGGGAAAAATTTTGTTTGGAAAATTTGGCATTTCCCAGCAGCAAAATTTTGACGAATTTTTCATTTTCAAAGTTTTGAATGCACGAAAGCGAAGCTTTACATTTTTGAGAATAATCATGAATTAGAATGAGCGAAAGAGTAGCAGCAAAGTTTTTAGTTTTTTTGCATTTGTAAAAAGAATTTAATTTTTGGAAATATTATTATAGAAATATAAAAATTTAACAAAAAGTATTTTTATATCACTTTCAGAGATTTTTTATTTGCAAAGAGAAAAAAAATTTTAATTTTTTTTAATTTTTCGTACCAAAAATTTTGAGAGTAGTCATGACTTAGAAAAATTTTGTTAATATTTTCAGTTAATAAAAAAAAATTTGCAAAAAATCATAAAAAAAAATTATGTTTTATTTTGTTTTATTTTTACAAAAAACAACTTTTTAAAGAAAAATATTAAAATAATATTTTTAGAAATATTTTTTTTTGTTTTGAAAAATTAAAATTTTTCAACATTAAATTATATGACCCAGCAAAATATTGCACGAAGTTAATAATTGCACCCAAGACCTAAAAACTGCAACCCATAAATCCTCGTTTACGACACATGATGCTTGCAATTACTTTTTTGCTTTTTGTTTCATAATCACAGGAAGCCGTTAAATTTTTTTTATTTTCTGTTATTTTTTTATATTCAACAAACTTAATTACTGCTTAGTGTTACTTAATACTACTTTTTTAAGTATCCATTTGACTTATTATCGCACCGAGACGTATGCTTACGGAATACGCAAATACTTAGCGTATACTATATACATATGTTTGTATATATGTATGTGGGTTTGTGAACCGATCCACGGCCAGCCGAATGCTTGACACATTTGGTTATGCAGTTTCAAACAAATCGAACGCACTGTTTACGTGCCTCATTGCCAATAAAATGTAGCAGTCGCCTACTTATGCAACTACAGGCTACTTACATATAAATAGTAGCAGTGTGCTAAAAATATGCATATTGATAAATATATACATATATACCATAAGTATACAAAATTATAATAATAAAATATATATATTAGTAATAATAATAAAAGTAATATTAATAATACTCATTACAATATAAGCTAATAAATACAAAGCATAATACTATGGCTATACATAATATTTTATAATAGGTATATAAGTGATGCTATATAATTCTATATACTTCTATACGTACATATATATAAGTGTGTTTGTGTTGTGGCAGGTAATTTGTTAAGTACAAAAACTTTTACGCACAAAAATACTAAAAAAAAAAGTTTATAAATAGATGGCCACGCTAAAGATTATTTCCTGGTTCGCCATTGTATTAGTATTAGTGAGCGACTTTTTGTTTTTTTTTTTGTCTAATCAGTCTAGATAAAATTTGACCTTGTGATGGCCGGTCGCACCACTGCTACTACTACTACCACTACCCACATGTGTACCACTACCGATGCTAATTTTACGCGAGGGACGTTTAAGCGGATGATGTGGCTGTGCGTCATCATCATACTCATCATTGTCATCATCATTTTCATAATGATTGAGACGATTGTTGCGATGGTGGTTGACGACGTAGCTGTTGTTGTTATTACCTTCCAAACGTCGCAGTAGCCGATCCTGTTCGGTTTCGCGCGGCGTTGTCGGTATTTCCTTGTTGGGTGAATGTATGCCGGCGAGGAAAGTCTTCGTGCTGATACGTGTCATTTTGGTTGGTTGATGATCTTGGAAGATTTGTGAATTTGCGAAAACGGCCAATATTTCGGGACCCAACATCGGCACGTTCGTTTGTGTTTCACGACGATAGTCTTCTTCGTGTATCTTTGCATTGCTGAAAATATGAAGGGTTGTTTAGGAGTTAATGAGTTTTGAAGAGATAAGAAAAAAGAGAAAGAGAGAGATAGGTGGTATGACTTCGATGATTTTTCTTCGTGAATCTTTGCATTGCTGGATAATTGAAGGGGTTAATAGGAGTTAATAAGTGTTGAAGAGATACTAAGAGAGAGAGAAAAAGAGTTTGCTGGTATGACTTCAATGATTCTTCTTCGCGTATTTTCGCTTTAGTGGAAATATGAAGGCATTTAAGGAGTTAATGAGCGAAGAAGAGATACCAAGAGGGAGAAGGAGAGAGAGAGATCTACAGATTGGTGATATGACTTCAATGATTCTTCTTTATGTATCTTCGCATTGCTGGGAAATTTAACGGTTTTTAAAGAGTTAATGAGTGTTGAAGAGATACCAAGAGAGAGAAATAGAGAGCAAGATAGGAAGTATGACTTTGAGAAGCAAATAAAAATTTGTCGGATTTTGAAGTGGCTTACAAGTGCATAATAGGTTTCAGCGCAAAACTAAAAAGCGGTTTAAAAGCTTAAGGCCTTCAGTGTTCAATTACATACTTAAAAACCATTCCAGAATTTGAGAAATATTCTTCGAAAATTAACGATGTTTCGAAAATGAGCGCTATTCGGCAAAAATTATGCTAGAGATTTTGGTGCAGTAGTAAAATATGCGATGAGAACTAACAAAAGCTATCACTGTTAAACTCAATTTTGCCGAATCTCATTACGATTATCGATTAATTTTAGACAAAACACCCACATTTTATTTCGGCAGATACAAAAATAGTAAATACCGATGACGGTGTTTCTATTTTCAGATTTGGGACAATATTCCCTAAAGATAAGGAGAGAAGTAATTTCTTTTGTTTTGCTGTTACTCAGTTAAGAAAAAAGGTGTGATAATATTTTATGCATAACCGTAAGCATGGAATACGAAAAAAGGTGTGCATCAACGTCACAATGCTTCACCTTATGAGCAAAAAATGTCGTGCGCGTGTACCTCATAATGCCGGAAGCGTTACGTCGCAGTGGTTGATTACAGATCGGCACCGATAAATTGTTGTTATCTGACACTTGTATATGACTGAGGGCACTGCCATTCTTCTGCAATGACAAGTAGTCCGTATCCTCTTCGGGATTGTAGTTCGCTGTAAGGAAAAAGAAGTGATATTTAGAATTATTTTGCAGTTTAAGTACTGTAAGTCGCTGTTGATTACTTGTTTGATTATGGAATATTATTACATAAGAATTGATTAACAGTTAAGTAAATGTCATAAGTATGTCTTTTACGCTTATTAATTGCTCACGACATTAAGAAAAAATTAGCACGAATTCATTACATTTTGATTACTTGCATATTAAATAAGTTACGATTACGTCATATACATATTTACAGAAAAATAGGTTGTAATGTGTTTCAAAGGTAACTATATGATTCACATGAACTTGTTATTATGTAATCATTCCGTAAATATAAAGCGATTACTTACTAGATTACACAATATTCATATTTACAGAAAATGTGAAAAATTGTTTTGTGATGTGTTTCAAAGGTAAAAATATACATATGTGATTTACAGAAACTTATTATTACGTAATTGTAAAGCAATTATTTACTAGCCGATTAAATTACCAATAAAAATCTAAGTCAAATAATTTAGTATAACTTTATGCCGAGCACTGGTATGTATCCGATCATTACATAAGACAATTTTCAGTTTTTCATATCAATACAATCACTTACTGTAATCGTTACCATTTTTCAAGGTTTTATTTAAGAATTTTCACAATAATACAATATAATTTTGCTTTATAAAAACCAAACAAGCTTTTAAAATTACATTAGTTATATTGTAATTGACAAATCAGTTAACATGTTAGTAATGAAAAATAAATAGCAGTAAGTGACTAAAATACTCAATATTTCTTTATCATTAGTTCTTAAGTACCACTTACAGTTAATAATAAAACAAAAATTTCTTTAAATTATTCAATTTGGTGCACAAATTTAATATGAACAAAAAATTAACTTCAACATCAATTATACAAAATTTTTGTTTATTGAATATTATCATAATTTATCATTAATTACCTAAATATTTTTTTTTTATTATGTTTGTATTATGGTTTTTATTTATGTAACACATGAGATTAAAGTAAAATTAAACGTAATGTTTAGTAAAAGTAATTCATGAGTTTGAAATAAATGTAATTGTACTAATATTTACCTTCAAAATAAAAATGTTTAATATTTTAATTATATATAGTTTAAATATTTTATAAAATTCTCATGATTAAAACAAACAAATATATTGTATTTATGGCATTAGCCAAAAGAGAAGAGAGACAAAGAGTTAAGTGTTTATGAGCTAAAGAAAAAGTTAATATAAAAATGTAATTAAAGTAACTCATGGGTGTTAGATAAAAGTAATTGTAATAAATTCTTAAAACAAAAAAAAACAAAGAAATATTAAATTGCCAATTTTTCAATAAAACAAGAAAATATTTTGTGAAAATGTAATGATTACCAAAGAGTAAATCTACAAACAAAACAAGTATATTGTATTTATGGCATTAACAAAAAGAGGAGAGAGATAAAAAAAAGTAGTACATGAATTTTAAGAAAAATAAATGTAATGATTAAGAAAAGTTATTTATGAGTTTAAAAGTAATTGTAATGATTTTAATTAACCAAGTAATCAAAACTCAAATATTTTGTAAAATTAAAAGTCAAATATTTTATAAAATTGTAATAAATACTTTGAAAATAAAAGAATTGTAATTTCCAATATTTTAATTAAACAAGTACAAATTTGTAATTTTCAAGTCAATAAATGTAACAGTTATAATATATTTTAAAAGTAATTTTAATGATTGCTTTGAAAATAAAAATATTGTAATTGCCGATTTTTGAATTAAACAAGTAATCAAAAGAATAGAAAATTTGGTAAAATTGTAATGAATACCTTTAAAATAAAAATTTGTAATTGCAAATACTTTAATTAAGCGAGTAATCAAAAGTCACATATTTTATAATATGGTAATGATTAACTTGGAAAAAAAAAATGTACTTGCTAGCATTATAATTAAACAAGTAATCTAAAGTCAAATATTTTATAAAACTGTATTGATTACCTTGAAAGTAAAAAAAAATTAAAATATTTTTGAAAATTGTAATGATTACCATACAAATACAAAAATTTAATTGCCAATATTTTAATCAAACAAGTAATAACAAAACTCAATTATATTTCAAAATTGTAATGATTACCAACAAGTAATTGATAAAAGTCTAAAAAGCAAACAAAACAGTTCAATTTTTACATTCAATACTGTATGTAGTAAAAAGTCTAAAAAGCAAACAAAACAGTTCAATTTTTACATTCAATACTGTATGTAGTAAGTGCACAAAACACACGATTTTCTAAAGCAAATACCATATGTATTAATATCCGCGTTGTTCTCGATCACGGCAATCGATTTGGTGAAAACTCAATCGTCTATGTAAATTCTACGACACGTAAAAGTCATTACAAACCACTTATTTACGTAAAATTCTTAAGAAGTCGATACACAAGTCTACAAATTCAAATACAGAAGTATTTACAGATGCAAATAATCATTGTACGCAAACAGGCAAGCCGCAATAATCGCGAGAACAATAGTAATCATTATATGCACAACAAAAGTCTTGCCAACACTTAGCGCATTACGGTGATTCATTATGCCAACATTACAGAATGTCCGTTCATACTAAAGTAAATATGTGCAATAATTGCACTCTGTATTTTATTGTCGTTGCTGTTGAAATACAATATTTTTAGCAGTAATTATATGCCGATTTTTTACGCGCACCTTAATTATTCGCTTGCCGAAGTTGTGTCAACGAATTAACTAAATAAACGACTTACTTGTACAGTAAGGATACGCTAAATGTTACTACAAATACTTTCAGTGTGAATTTTCTCTTTGCACAACGGTAAATGGTGGCTTTCTTTTGTTGTTTGCAGTAAGAAATTTCATAAATTCGTATTTATTTATTTATTCGATTTCTTAAATATAGTTAACTCATAAAACAGAGAAGCAAAAAATATTTCTACGGTCATTGGCCGCGCTTCGCGTGCTCGTGACCCTTTTATCCGTTAATTGCAAAATAATTTTTCGGAATACAGCGTAATCAGTACAAAGCAATGTAAACAGTAAACTCTACTTTTTATCTTGACAGTAATGTCATTATCTATGTATGCCTGCCATCAATCTTTTCTTACTTTTTTGGTCCTACTAGCTTAGAAGACAATTAAAACAACCTTTATCTATAAGCTGTTATTCAGCAAAGGTATCCATTACATTTACATATAATATATTGAAATAGACGCTTTGACACTTCGTAATCCTTTTGACTTTATTTTTTATAAAGCTCTGGAAAATTTCAATGAGAACTGACATTTAATTACGATCAGTCTTTCTTCCCATTTTTTTCGTAACTCATTTCTTATTTTCTTATCATCGTAGTATTTAATGAGTTTATAAACCCCATTAGATATATTAGTCAATTAACAATTTTCGGCAATTTATATAGATAATTTATTAATTGACTCAACTAAGAGTCTTTCTAGACTTTACACACTTATTTTCTGATCATTTTTAATACATTTTTTTTTTAATTTTTCGAAATTTAAACCTAAAACTAACCTGGTAAATAGTGAACTCAAATTAAATCAAAAATGATGCTAAATTTTCTAAAAACCTTACTAATGATTATATGTATACCATTATTAGCCTAGACAATTTATTAAATGACTCAATTAAGAGTCTGTCAGACACCTAATCCCATCTAATGCTCATAATTTGCAATACACTTATTTTTTCTTCAAATTTCGAAAATTAACCTTATACTGATTTTATAAGAACCGGATGTAATATTCAACTCAAATTTATTCAAAATAGATGCTTAATTTTCTGAAAATTTTAGCATGGAATTAACTAAATATCATCTACGTGGATAGATCGATTAAATTTTACACCAAATATTTCTTATAAGTTCTAGAATTAATTTGATTATACTTTATAATAATTGTAGTTCCACTATAATGCTTTTTGAATTGGTATATTATATAATATAAAGTTCTTGGCAAAAATCTTCTCTATTAATTTTTATCAACCTTATTTGATTAATTTTTTTCTTTTTAGGCTTTGTGAGGCTCTCAAAAATGATGGTGTTGTGTGTTTGAAATTGATTTCTTTACAAATATGATTAATATTGAAAATTAAACTAATAAAAAAGAATTTCGTCTTCTTAAATTTGAAGCCAAATCAGGAAACAGAATATTGCTTTGAAACTTGAAGCTTGTTTTTCCATTGATCTTTCAGAAATATATTTCCTTTTAAAAAATTTTTTCCGTACATAATAGCTTTATACTTTACAAGTTTTGTACTACTTTTAGGAAGAACCTGTGATGATTTTAAAATTAGGTTAGCAATGGTGCATATATTCAATGATTTCCAATCGGAAGATTCGGTGAGGTTAGGTTATGATAACGCTGAAGTTATTATGGCTGATTCCCGATTGGAAATACACTGTCAAAAGCCTACTGAAGACAGATTAAACTTTCTTATGGAATATCAGAAAGGCAAACATCTGCTAAGGCGATTAATTTCAATATCATTGAGTTTATTTGAATGGCTTAAGACGTGTGAGTCTAGGTGTTTCAACTTTAATCTGCTACTAAATACTATAGAAGAAAATTCTCTGTCGAATATAGGTTTTAACTGTTAACAGTTTATCTACATAGTTAATTAAAATTATTTTTCGTATGTTATTATTTTCTTGGAAATCTTATGCAATTTAATTAGTTCAAACAATTAACTAAAATAATCGTCTATACGATTTAGCAAATTAGAACATATCGACTTATCGTACTATATATAATAAAAAATAACATCACCTAATCAATTGCTCTCTTACGACCTTCGCTTCTAATCTTGATTTGTTTTTATGTCATTTATATGCCATCAAATTGGGCAACCCATGACATTGACGCATCGAGTTCTTAATACAGTGATAAATGGGTTAGTAATATTTATTGTGCTCTGGTAATAACAGAAATTTTAGCATATTCATTCAGATGACATATTAGTTTTATTTTGAATTCTTTATTTTTCAAGAAAAAGTCAATTTTTTTGGGGATTTATATATTCTAATTTAATTTAGTTTTGGAAAAAGATTTTTGGAAATGTTATAGAATTTATTTAACTTTTTCAAAATAAATTTTAAAAAAATTATTAAAAGGAATATTTTTGAAAAAATTTAATGTTTTTTTAATTAAAATTTTTTTAACTTTAATCGTTTACATATTTTGTTAATATTATTTTTTTTTCATAATTTTTTTAAAAATGTATTCAAAGGATCGAAAAAAAAGTTCAATTTTTTATCAAAAAACTTCTATATTTTCCTTTTTATAATTTTTAATATATTTTTATTGAATTTTAATATATTCCTTTCAATTTCAGTATTTTTTCAAAAAGAAAATTCAATATTTTTTTTCGAAATTCAAAGAGTACAACTATATCATACAACAACAACAACAAAAATTAGAGCAAATATTTTTTAGTTTTAAGTTATTCACAACAGTGTTTAGAGCAATTTCTAATAATTCAGTTTTTAAACTCGCACTTACACTTTTTTCGTTAATCAGTTTTGAACATTTTTTTATTATTATTTTAAATATTTTATCATTGAGCAATTTTGCATTCTATGAAAATATGTTTCCTCTTACAACAACAACAACAACATTATATTATATACATAAAAAAAAAATTGTAATTAGGTTTTCAAAATTTAAATAAAAAAAATTTTTCCAAAATTTTTTTTTAAATTAAAAACTTAAGTTTTTAACGCTAATCAGGTTTTCAAAATTTAAATTAAAAAATTAAATTAAAAACTTAAGTTTTTAACGCTAATCAGAATATTTTGTCTCTTACAAGATTAGTAAGCTTTCACAATATATTGTTAAGAAATTTTGAATAATTAAATTTTCAAATTTAAAATAAACAAGTAAGGAAGGGCTAAGTTCGGATGTAACCGAACATTTTATACTCTCACAAAGTCAAATGGTATACTCGTTTGAGATTTCTTTGTGGATTGACTAATATTTTCGGTAGAAGGTCAACTATAGGCACTGGGGTCCACATATTTAGTACTTAGGGGTTTGAACAGTTTTGGTTCGATTTAGACAATTTTTGGTCGCAAGGTGGCATACTTTAATTGCATTATTCACGCAAAGTTTTACCCCGATATAATCATTGTTACCTGATTTGCATAGGGGAAAGTGAAAGAATCAGATGGAATTGAAAATGGTGTTACATGGGAAGTAAGCGTGGTTGTAGTCCGATTTCGCCCATTTTCGCACTATGACATAGAAACATGAAAAGAACGTTACGCACCGAATTTGGTTGAAATCGGTTGAGCAGATCTCAAGATATGGGTTTTCACCTAAAAGTGGACTGTGCCACGCCCACTGACTAATTTTGAACGCGGTTCCTATAAACCCAATTTATACCATCTCAGATAAAATTTAATGTCTCTGGCGTGTTTAGTGCTTGATTTATCGCGCTTTTAGTAGTTTTTAACAGTACCGTTATATGGGGAGTGGGCGGAGTTGCCACCCGATTTCAACTATTTTCACACCGTCAATAGAAGTGCTAAAAACATTTGCTTCTAGTGAATTTTGTTATTATAGCATTAGCGGTTTAGGAGATATGCACATTAAACCTATTAGAGGCGGGACCACGCCCACTTTTTAAAAAAAGTTTTAACTGCAGATGCCCCTTCCTAATGTGATCCTGTGTACCAAATAACAGTCTTGTATCTTATTGCTGAGCTTAGTTATGGCAAGTTATTTGTTTTTGATTAATGGCGTTTTGTGGGCGTGGCAGTGGTCCGATTACGCCCATCTGCAATACCAACCGTCTCACGGTACCAAGAAACATGTCTACCAAGTTTCATAAAGATATCTCAATTTTTACTCAAGTTAGAGCTTGCACGGACGGACGGACGGACGGACGGACGACAGACAGTCACCCGGATTTCAACTCGTCTCTTCATCCTGATCATTTATATATATATAACCTTATATCTAACTCCATTAGTTTTAGGTGATACAAACAACCGTTAGGTGAACAAAACTATTATACTCTGTAGCAACAGGTTGCGAGAGTATAAAAACGTTTTTAGAAATATTTTTTGTAAATAAGAAAAATTTAATTTTTAAAGTTAATCAGTTTCACATTTGGGGAGAATATTTTTCATTTTACAGCAGCAAGAGCCAACTATTACAAAAGATTTTTACAAAAATTTTGAATTATTAATTAAATTTGACATTAAGTTTTCACGTTATGACAGCAACAACAAACCTTTCTTTTTAATTTTATTATTGCTACAATAATAAATAAATTTACATTATAGTAACTTATTTGTATAATAAAGCAAAAAAGTTGATATATTTTAGTTTTTATCGCTTTTTTTCTATATTATTCACCATTTTTCCTCACTAAATTTTCCATGCCGTGATCAATAATTGTATATTCATTAATTCATAACACAACGCCTACGAAAATAATCAGTTTTTAATTATACTAACAACTTTCGCATAAGCGAATTTAAAAATACTACAGAACAGCACTAAATATTCCGGATTTTCCACCAATTATGTATATATTATTACTTTGTTTACATTTTTAAAGATTTAGTTTTTATATTGTAGGCACTAGGAACCGTGAGTACAAGTATTAGCTATAAGCCTGTCTGCTTATCATTTTCATATGACTTTCTTTATTTGGCATAATTAACGCTGCTTTACTGCGATTGACAAAAAATTTTAGCTACAGCTTTGTCACACTCGTATGTACGAGTTTATACATACATGTTTGTAGGTCTGTATGTATATATGTATACATATTTAACTAAACACTTCCTATGCACTTCCTTTAGCGCTAAGCTATCGCTACTCACTGCTTTAAATTTATGCGTGAGTATGTGCGTCAGCTAGCTATCAACGCGCGGCGGTTTACGCTCAGCTCACTCATAATGACTTGTACTTTGGCGTATTAATCACTTTTTTTTAGAAATTACAAGTTAAATAATCACGGTTTTAATACACCTTTTGCTCGAATTATTACGGCCGGTATTAACTCAAACACTTACGGCGTTTTTTATTGTTTTTGTATTTGCCAAAAAAAAAATTTGTTTGCTGTTTGACTTTACTGTTTGTTGACTTTGTATTTTTGGGAGATAATTTTTTTAATTAAAATTTTAATTTTTTTTTTTTTATATTTAGAAGAAATATTTTTTTTATATTAAAACTTTTTTTTATATCAAATAAATTTTGTTTTTAATTTTGCATGTTTTTTTTGCAAGTAATTTTTTTTTATTTTGCAACTCACCGATTGACTCATCGTAGCAGAATCTCTCCTCGAAGCAGTTCCACTTGAAGTCTTCCCAGCAGCTAAATAATTTTATTAAATTTTATTTTGTTATTTAAATATTTTTTTAAGATTTTTTGCAGCAAAAAGTGCTTAAAAATCATAAATAAACTTTTTTGTTACAATATAGGCGTAAAATATATAAGAAAGCGTTGACAAAGTGTCAGCGCGCACGCCAAAATGGTTAAAATATTTTATAACATCTACTCACCTCTGGCAGCAACGACACATTTTACGGTTGCAATACGTATATTTATTTGTAACTGCTTATAGCTTGAAGCGCTTGAGCGACGCGTACGCTTGCTGACGCGTTTGCGTGCGTTGTAATGCGGCGTTTGATACTAGCGCACGCAACAGCTGCCGATGCGTCTGCTGTCGCTGGTGTAACTAACTGTTGTCAGCGGGACTATGTGTCTATGGCGCTCTACTGGCGCGCCTGCTTAACTACCAACGACGTGCTTTTCGTAGTTGCGCTATTGCTGTGGTCGTAGTCGTGATCGTGGCGGTGGTCGTCGATGGTGCTGCTGTTTGTGTCGTTGTCTCTTCGCCGTGTTAGTCTTGCGCGCTATTACGTATACTCGCGTAAATCACTTTGAAAAGCACGCTTTTGCACTTTGTCGTATCAAGCCGCCTTATTAACTAGCAGTCTAGCTATTTTCTTGGCTTTATCAGCTTTAATGCAAACGAAAACAAAGTGCGCGCAGTCTTTTCTCTATACACTTTTTGTGGCGCGCTGGCGCTTTTGCTGGCGTGGTCTGCTCAACTGCAAACAAAATTTGCAAACAAAAACAAAAAAGTACAATTTTTTTATTCAATATTTCATACTGCCAGGTCGGCGTGCGGCGTCAATATGCCGCTTTAACATACGAAAACACATACACACACTCACACATACAATTATATGTGTATATGTGCGAAAACTCACACACACGTGAAAAGTCTCGTCAATTTTTGTACGTCACTGCGCTGTCGCGCCGTCGTTGCTGCTGCCTTTGCCACACTCTAATCGATTTGTTTTTCGGCTACCACCTGTAATTTTACACTTGTTGTTTTTATTGTTACTGCAGCTGTCTGCTATATGTGCCGCAGTGTAGCTCATTCATGGGATTAATTCAATTAGCTGTTGTTTGCTGCTTTCCGTCGCTTACCGCCTGCCGTTGGTGTACCACAAGTGCACTTTGTTGTCCACCGTCCACATGACTCGGTCTCTACGTACTGCTTTCGCCTCGCTTTTACGCACCCATTTAGTAGTAGTGCGCGCGCTCTCGGCGCCAACTCGCTTTGCTCCCTATTTGGCGCTCGCAACTCTTGGCGTGAGCGCATTACCGGTGTTGGCACCGGTTCGCCTCAACTCTTTCACTTTCTGCGTTCGCGTTTTTTTTCGCTTTTTGTGACTGCATTCTTCAGTTCTTACGCTGATAAGCTTCAACTGGCGTTATCATGTTTTTAATCCATATTTACATTGTTGCCGCTTATGAGCGCGTTGTTTTGCTGTCGCCCTTTTCGACTGTTTCCTCATAACTTTAGTCAACAGTCCGTTTTTTATGGCGTTGTGTTCTAAGTGAAGTCAGTCGGCGATCAACTCCAATATATTTACTGAACACTTGATGTGCTCCCAATAAGGCCAGTAAGTGGTAAAATGTTGTATCTGTGTAAATATAGCGTCGCAGTGTCTGCGAGAGTGACAACAGCGGAAAGGCTAACGCGCAATTCATTCACTGTGCAGAGAGGCGGTACAGTGTAGCGATGCAAGTGAAATCGTTGTTAAATTTTTATTTTAACTGAAAGCCATTTGGTAGATTACGAGTTCTGAACTTATAGCAAAAAAAAAATCTTTCTGATATCCAAACAATAAAAAGTCTCAATATTATTATTATTTAAGAAACGTTTGCTCTAATAACGAGTGTAACAAGTTTTATTATGAAAAATCCACAATCCGCTTGAATTCGCTATAAAACTTTGTTAAAGACCCTATTTTGTTGTATAATACCTGAGAAGCAGTGATGTGATTAATAATTATTTCAAAAAATACTTCAGGTTCGGTTGGATTAGGTTAAGAGATCGATAATAGTCATCTCACTTGGACAGATTAGAACGACGGTGCGTTGTGGTACCGTTGTAGTAAACTTCTATATAATCGATCATAAGATCCTCATAAGTGGCTAATGAAAGTTGCAGCTATGTCTCCTGGTTCGCCAAAGCTATGTCTACCGAAATGTTTCAACCGCAGTCTTGCAAAATCAGGACCATGGAGAAGAAAGTGCCTGGATATTTCTACTTTATCTTTCTTCATTCAACTTTAAAAATTTGCGTCCGATAAGATTTTTAATCTTATCGCATGAATATCTAACAGACAATGTCTAGTAAAAACTATTACGATTACTACAAGAAGAACTTTGCTAAGGGTAAGTAGCTCAGTAGATTTTCTGCGTTCTACTCTAAGCCATAAAAATTCCGGAGTCGCACAGGGTCCACAAGTCTAATGCTGCAACACAAGATGAAAAATACCCTTTTTCAACCCACAAATCTTTTCGTATAGTGAAACTTTACTTCACTATCAAAACTTATAAAAACCATATACTATTTGCACTTTTAGGCATATATAGATTGCCAAAATTTCTGAACTTTCATACAATAAATCCGAACAAAACTTTTCGCGGTCTCTCTTGCTTCCAGAAAAATTTGCTGTCTGGAGTTATTTTTATGAAGAATCATGTTTCTTAACTAAAGATAAAAGCAATGTGGTTCCCTTCGTCCGACAATATCAATCGTCCAAATGTTAAATGGTACTAGCAAGATGTTGTAGACATCCTTACAGCGCGTGAAACGAACACGTTTTTGAAACGAAATTTTTATAACCAATTTATACCAAGAACTGTGCCTTTAAATAGATCCCCATGATCATATGATTTAAACAATTTTGACAACTTTTCATGCTGACAAAACAGTTTAGCCCGAGAGACAATGGTAATTAAAACTTTTTTTGGGAGAGTTATTCAACACTTTATTGGTTACTAGTTAAGTTGGGGAAAAAGGTGCAAAACTTGAACAGTATGGCAATCATGTCACTGGGTCTCGTAGTGTCTATATGTGTGAAATTCTAAGATATAATTTCCAAAGTAATAAATTAAAAATTGCTGATGATTCATGAGTTTTTCTCTATTTTATTTTTATAAATAGATTCAATCATACACTTCTGAAACTCTCATTACCCCACCATTCATGTTTTTGGTCTTAGCGCTTCCTTGAACTTAATACTAACCCTCCAGATATACCCAGTAAGCAATAGACCTCTCAAAGTGATAGAAAAATTTTTCATCAATATGTTGATACAAAAGACCTGAATCTTCGCAAATAAGTTGCTTGACAATAGCGGAGAACCCCACATTTATTAAACGCGTCATTACTGGTAACAAGACATGAATTTATGAATATGGCGTCCAACGATCTAGCAAATGATGGCATGTTTGTATTGGTCCAAAAGGATTAGTATTAAAATACGTTGAAATTTTGTTTTTTGTCATTCCGGATCAAATTTGTTATTATATATTATAAATAAATATATTATTCTAGTTCAATCGTTTTATTTACATAAATTTCTATGCATTTACGCCAGCACCAGCCCACTGTGCAGTCAGAAGTGTAGTATCTAAAGCGAATGAGAGTATACATACAATTTCAGTACGAGTATAAGTACACATTTGGTGTTTATGGGAGATTTTATAAACTCCTCTCACTCCACGAAAGAGCGATTAAATCGTGCTGAGCGGCATGATCTTGCAACTACAGGTAAAACGAATTCACAAAATGACTTGATAATTAACAGGTAAAAATAACTGAATGTGCTGGAACATTTACAAAGTGAGGTATAATTTTAGGCGTAAGCTGTAGCTTATGTATGTAATATTGTATATATATATTATATATAATATAAATATACTTGAAAAGCTTTTTGCATTTGTAATAAAATAAAATAAACTTAAAAGAACACTTTAATTAGTTTATAAAATGGTGTAATTTTAATTTAAACCAATTTGCATTAAAATTTAGATGCCATAATTATTTGTTTAAACTTTTAGTTAACAATTTTTATCGCTGCAAAAGAAGTCACAACGTCTGCCGTTTTTGTGCTAAAACCAGTTAAAGCGCGACTTCGCAAATTAACAACACAAAGAGCTAATAAAATTTTGGCAAAGTAGGTAAAATGCAAACCCAAGATGTACGAAATTCAATGCATAAAAACGGTAAATAAAAAACTGATTTAAAATTCAAGTTAAAATGTAGAGTTAATTTGGATTTTTGTGTGTCAAACATTTATTACACTGGCGGCGATATGACACGGATTATTTGAAAATTATACATCACATATGGCTGTTAGATGTCATGGCTGAATAAATTGCTAGCGCGAAATATCTAAAAGCACTGCAAAAGTAAAGAGATGGGTAGAAACAGAAACTTGGTACGATAACTTTCAAAGAAACTGTATTGAAATACGCTAAACAAGTCAAGTAATAAAGATGCCCCTGAAAAGCCACTAAGTTCAAAAAAATATTTGAACAAAAACCTTACTAAACCTCTTCGGATTTTCTGGAACGATCTAACAACAGCGTGATCACAGGATTTATGAGTATATAATCAATGAAAGTTTGGAAAACTCTCCAACAAGCTTCTATCTTAAATATCAGCTTAAACTCACAATTAAGTAAGAAATAAAGCACGATATAGCTGAGACAGTACGCAAAGTACTTCGTGGATTATATCTTGAATGAATAGTGATCCTGAGAAAGTTTTCGGATGCCACAGCAGAATTATTGGATCGATTGGACGCCAAATTGCAAAAAAAAAAAATTGGCGCTTTTGACGAACCGAGCAAAACACCGGCTTACGCCTCAGCCGTCATCACAGCTATATTGATCGAACTAAGCTATGAAATTTTGCTCTAATCACCGTATTCTCCACATTTGACCCCGTGCCACTTCTTTTCGTTTTCAAACTAGAAAAAAGCAAAACTTGTTTCGAATGAAAAGGTCTACTTTGCGGACCTCCATAAAACATATTTATATTTTTCGGACGGGTTGAAAAAGTTCGAGCATCACTCGGTCAGATGTATTAAAATAAAGAAAGCCTATAACTAGAAATAAATGAAAAAAATCATTTATCTGTTTATGGGCTTAGTATTTTCGTACCGCCGTCATATAACGAATACTATTGTACTCATTTCGAAATGAAAATATTTAGAGACGTATTCCTTTCCGGCTGACCCGCTAATTCCTCAAGTAATTCAAAAATAAAATTTTAGTTTTTAAAATCAGATAAAAATATTGTTTTTTTTTTTTCAATTCAATGCGCATCTCTTACAGATGTTATTTTTTTGCAATTTTCCTGATGCGTGTTTATATTTTGAAGTGTTTACAAAAATTAATATATACAGCTGTATCTACATATGTATATACATATATAAATACATATATATATACATATACATATACATATACATATACATATACATATATATATATATATATATTGTATATCTACACATTTTTAAATGTAAATGCATACAAAATGTGTTTGTAGCAAAACACAAAATCACTGCCAAGTAGCAATCAAACTATTAACCTGGCAATTTCATTTCGGCTATCAAGCAATAATTGCAACAATTGTGTGCATTGAATAAATATACAAATGTGGTATATAGTATACATACATACAAGCATACATTTGTACTTACATATGTAAGCTATAGCAATCAACAGCATTTCTACGCATGACAAATGTAGGTTGTTAGCTATAAAACAACATAACTCAAAAAATCAAAAAATACAATAATAGTTTTATATTATTGTGGTCACTATATACTTGTGTGTATAAGTAGTATGCATGTATATATGCATATTTGCAGGTTTATTGATACAACGTAAAAGTGAAAAGGTAAGAAATTGGTAATAAAAACAAAAACGAAAAAATAGTTGCTATACCATATATGAATATACAAGGTGATTCCTTTCAGCAAACTATCAATTTATGATAAAATACTACAAACAGTTGATTAGTAAACAAATTAAAAAATACAAGAAAACTTCATCGTTTCAAATATCAATTTTGGCAACTTCTCTCTTAGATGTAAAATTTTTTTAGGCTACTGTTTTTTATAATGCCTGGCTTCACTGAGCAACATTATTAATTAGTATAAATTTCAAAAAAATCGAATCTTTGTATATTTCGAAGGTACAAATATTTGAGAATATGCTGCGAATATGTAAAATTCGTCTGTCGAATAGTTACGGAGTTATGAGCATATTTTCTTTCAAAATTTTACATGTGTTTTTCTCGAAACGCTATCGATGCCGTGATAGTTCTCAACCTTTACCTGCATTCATCTAAATTAAAGTAAATTTTGTTTTCGAACAGTATTAAAAATAAATATCTTTCACGACACGTTTTTACGCAGCATCCCATTTGAGAACGACTACTGTCAAAAGGGAATAGAAAATTTTTCAAAATGAACCAATTTTCAAAGTACATGAATTTATTAATTTATTTCATCAAATGTATCTTCAAAAAAAATATTACAAAAAAGACGTATTTTTACTTGCATGTGAATAAAACACCTTAATGATTCACCCATTATTAACAATTTTCCAATATAAAGCGAATAGCATAGCAATGGAGATCATTTTGTCGTTCTTATGAAAAAAAAAGGTAAAGTTCACTTTTGTTCACCCCAGGTTTTTAAATAAACGATTGAGAAAACTGCAAGATCTGTTGCAATTTTACCTCGGGTGCATGCAATGAGTTCTGCCAGAGTCGCCTAGTCTCTCATCGCGTAACACAAGAACTTATCTGAAAGAGGCCACATATTTGGCTTGAATTCGGAATTCGAACTTATAGTAGTTTACTTTTGGAAAGAAAAAATTGCATACCAATAATTTTTAAAGTCATCTAAAATTACTTAGGTCACTTGGATAGTAAAAAATTGGTCGTTTGTGATAAAAGGAAAACTGTCAAATATGAAGCAGAAACTCGCATATATCGACAAAGTGATTCTTACCGATTACTCCGGACCACTAAGAAGTATGCTGAAATCTTGCTTAAGTCAGCTAATTGGAAAGAGAGTGCAGATATGATTTTACCTTCTCTTCTTCGAGATTAAGCTCTACTTTATAGGAATGCTGGCGCCAGGCCAGCAATAGTGCTCTGCTGACGAAGTAAATGCTCATATCTCTAAAGAAGGCTGTACTCAGGAAGAGTATATCTATTTGGAGAATGATCTTCACGGATATACCAAACAAAATTTTATTCGAACTGCATACGCAAACCGAATGAAAAAAAAAGTTCATGAATTTTTCGCCACGATAATACGCTGTCACATTCTAGACTGAATTTTTGCTTCCTGTTTTAGGAATCACCGCTCAGCTAACGTATTGGCCAGATTTGACTCCCTGTGACTCTTTGCCGAAACTGAAAAACAACCTTCGGGGAACGCGTCAAGAGTCTAATGAAGCCATTAGAAGTCATTCGCTGAAGGCACTGAAGGTCACCACAGCTGAGGATTCTAGCAAGTTTATGGACAATTGAATTAAGCGTTGGCATGCCTAAATTGGCTGGGGAGCCTATTTTGAAAGCGATAATGAAGATTTGTATTATAATAAGGGAAAGTGCATCTGTTGTCAGTAGGGGTCAAATTTGATCAGATGGTACGAGTACTTCTATCATGCAACAACAACTGATACAACCAATTTTGTCAATACGCAAACAAATATTATATTTATCTGAATTTTAGTTTATTTCCATTGCAGCACCCTGTATACATTTGTGCACAGTTTAAGCCATTAAAATAGCATGTCTACACAAATATTAAAAGTTGTTTATTGCATTTTAATTATAGTAATTGATGTGTCTGTAAAATAGGCCTATAACAACCGCCAACTCTCAGCCAACTACATAATTTTAGAAAGTACAAATAATTATCAATTCAGAACCGGATTGCTTGGCTAAGTGAAACGAAAGCAAACGTCAACAAGATTTATAAAGTATTTCAATAAACATCAATTATACATTTTATGGGCAAGTCGAATAAGTATTCTCGAGCATAGACGGATATTAAGTTAACCAATGATAATCGTAAATATTTTCACGAACAAGATCATACGTTGCACGTACGCAGAGTGACGACAAATGACAGAAAAAAGTCGCGAGATCAAAAACGATTGGCAGTACACGGCGGATGAGTAACACACCAACATACAAGCGCATATGTTAATGTGTGTGGCAAAAGCACGCGAGTGCTTGGAAATGTTTATAAATATACGTACACACACAAATATATACGTATACTTTTATATGAAAATTACATACATACATTCATTACTTAGAAATCCCTCATATTTTATTCAACGCGACTGCTCGTTTTGTTTTCAGCCGGTTGTTGTTATTGTTTGATTTATAATATTATAATATAAACACAGATTCGCATTAAACTCGTGTGTGCGTAGAAAGATCTGCCGATAATAAATTTCATAAATTAATT